TTTGTCCCCATCACGGATCACTGTTGAAGTGGTTGAAATTGGAATACCAAAAAGGATATTGAATGGCTCAACAATCCCAGAAACTAACACCGTCCACTTGGAGGAAGTGTCTGGGATTTGTGATAGTAATTTTGTAGTGTCATTGTTTAAACCTGTGAAGGAAGTTTAATGCAATATCTGCTTCCTTTTCATGCATTTAATCTGCAACTTAATTTCCTCCCTGCAGATATCAGGTTTTACTTGAATTGACTTAATATGGAGTAAAAGTGATAAATTTTAAATTATTTTTCATTGAATACTCTTATTGGACACTGTTCTCATCTGAAATGTCTTGCTGTGTATCAATTTAAAAAAATTACAAACTTGCTGAGTTTGTTAACAACAGTAGTAGTGGCATTTATATGTCCTAAAAGTTGAATGTTACTGTTGTAATGCTTAAAATTGTTAGAATCCTGATAAAGGTATAAAGGACAATAAGATATATTTACAAGAACTATATTTGAAATACATGCTTGAAATGCCCTATTTGGAGAGAGCATATGGAATGTGTGTTGCCTTTTCATATTTTATTGCAAAAGAATATTTTAATTTAACATTAAGTGTCGATTTTTTTCTGATCTGGTACAGCTGTTCACATATCTGATGTGTCATACCTACAACTATAATTTCTTCTCATTGTGACCAACTTTTTTCTTCACATCCCCTTTCACAATGTGGACTTTGCTCCCCATGTAGCATTGCACAGGTCAATTTTGATATCAATTTGCATAAAATACAGGTAGGCCTCCAAAAAGGAGTGTTTTGTAAAAAACAAGATTTACTCATCAGCGCATGATAGAAGCTTTAATAACAGGGTCAAAAACTTGACTATTTTTTAGTACATTTTACTGTACATTTATAACATGTTGGGTTTAAACCCCTGAAGAAAGTTTGGTGTGTGATGTGGAAAGTACTTCAAGCTCAGAGTGTTTGTCTGTTCGAAATGTAGTCATATCTCTTAAAGAGACAAAGATTAGTCCAAATTAAGCCTGTAAACACTACCATTCTCAATTTGGTGCAACTCAGTATTATCATGCTATTCATTGTTTTTGATGATACTGAATGAAAAAGAAACCTTTGTTTGCTTTCCAATAAAACTTAAAATAAGAAGAAAAGTAGAGGGTTTCTGTTTTATCCATTATTAACAAAGACAAACTTAAACAATAGCCATAGCAATAGCAATAGCACAGTTTCATTTGACACAGGATCTTCTAATTATTTATCTTTGCTTTTGGTTTGGTAGCACAGAAAGAAGGTGAAAATACAGCTAGGTAATAAGTGTCGGTCAATGAGGTGTATTTGTTAATTTTGAAACCAACAGAAAAATAAATAGTAAACAAGTTGGTGGAGACAGAGACAGAGTATATTATTATGTGTTAGTGTGGCAATATGGTGCTGATATGGAAATATAGGAACAAGAAGGAAAAGAGATAAAAGTTTGGTGTTTGTTGTATGAAATGCCAGCTGATGGCAGCAGACTGTGACCAAGTATTCCCACCTGTTTTGGTTCATTCAGGTAGCAACAGGCAGGAATCGGGAATTAGGAATCAACAGTTGGTAGATTTGCTCTTTCCACCCCCTTTACCACCTTCATCACATTTTGCACAGATGATTTAATTAAATAGTGTTAAATCTCAATTTGGGATATTCATGAGGAAAGCAGTGTAAAACGGTTCTCCTCTAGCACCCACAGAAGACAGAGTTTGCTCAAAATGTATGTCAAAAACTTTAAAAAATTGGGATGTTTTAATAATGTTACTTGATTGAAACAAAGGCAAATGTAGGCAGTCAGATAAAAAAAAAAGACTGTTAAACATGTCCATAATATTTCAGTAAAACAGTTACTTGTAGGTTTTTCTAACCCCCCCCCCCTTGGAAAAAAAAAGAAAAAAAAAACAAGCAAGCAGGGTGTTCAGACTACCCTTTATTGCCTTTATGAATGAATTTAAGTTCTAACCCTTTTTTCAAAAGATGCACTTTTCTAGTGATGTTCATTTTCTTTCTCATTTCAGTCCACCGACAGAGGTTAAAAATGCCCACGTCAGCACGCGAGCCAACATGAAGCAGCTGATCATGAAGCAACAACTTCAGGATCTCGATCGCAAGGAGCTGCAATATTCACAGTCGTTGCCGTCAAGGTCTGAGCAGTCGTCTGCCATTAACATGCCCGACTCTGGTAGCACAACCACAGAGGTCCCTCCACAGGTTTTGCAGGTAAAAATCACACTCTCAGGTAGTACCTTGAAAACAAAATCCATCGGTTTTTAGAAAAATTTTCTTAATTGATAAGTGGTGTAAAGTTCATAATGAAACCACTAGTTCTAATTGTTTTTTTACTGAAAAATAAAACTTGTTTTATGGATTGGATATGTGAATTCAAGTGCATTAATGTGGAATATTTTTGTACCTGGCAAACAGTTTTAATATGTAAAGCAATTTCAGCTTATTGATGAATGATCCATGGATATAAAGATTATCAGAATCCAAAAAAGGAAAGATTTAAACAAGCATAAATGTGGAATTCTGAAGTCGTTGGTCTGCATTTGCACAATGCACATTGTGCAAGTACATGTGTACTAGCATGCATACAAATTAGTTTCCATCTGAAAATGCACAAGCATGTCTAGCACATCAGTTTGTACATATTCGAACAGGCAAAAAACTAAATGATGAAAGCTTAAGATTTGTGTTACTGTCCACTATCTCTTATACAACTTATGCACTTTTCTTTTGCACATAACACATTTTCTCAGAAGGTTTAAACTTTAAACCCTTAACATGTTTTCAGAATCGGATTTATGGACCTAGGAATATCTTTAAATAAGTAATAAAAATTAAGAATTTTTGGAGTAATTAATTCACACTTATTACCTTTTAAGATTTCCCATAGATATGGTGTGTAGAAATGTTGTTTGACAGTTAGTGTTATACAATACATGAAGTGTCCAAGTGCAACTTGCCTAGAGAGTTAAAACAACAGCCGTGTGCTACTTCCTCGGTTAACTTAAAGGGCTCATTACTAGCACGGCCTTAAGGATGAAGATTATGGGGGATGGGTTTAATGAGGAGGAGTATAGACATTAAGAGCATGGTTATATTTAGGTTCAGGTATTGTATTTTGTGGTTCTTTATTTTTTGAAAAAAAATTAGTAATTTTTTTTTTTTTGCCTGCTCCTTTCTTTCACTTGAAAATGGCTGAATAACATTTAAAAATTGGTTATTAAAAATTGTTCATTGTTTTCACAAGCAATAGTATAGGTTATATCTTCTTCAGAAAATGTCTTAGTTGTGATAAAAAATAATAATAATAACTTCATAAAATCAGAGTAATGCTCATAGGCTCATTGTGGCAATAAAATTAACTGGAACCAATCGAAATTCTAAAATTTTTAAGTGAAATGTATTATGGTATGTTGCTTTGACTTCTAGTAAAGGAAAATGTAAAGTGTCCTATGGGCATCAAGGAAAAAACATCCAGCACACAATCTAAATGTCAAATCCATGGGATATTTTAGGCCAAAATGTTGGCCACTGTTCCTTTAACAATCAGTGTACCCAAGAGCTTTGACAAAAATGAAATATGTAAATAAATAAATAGTAGATTGGAAAACGGTATTATAAGATAAATAGATATAAATAAAAATATTGATAATAGCAGTATGAAAAGATCATTACACCCAAGGCTTCTGCACAGAGTTGAAATATTGGTATCCCAGTTAACAGACATTAAGGAAGTAACAGTCTTGATTACAGCTATAGTTTTTGCCCCCAAACCAAACCCTTGGGCAGCAAAAGTAATCATAGTGGTTAGGCTTTTCCACTATTGTTGTCGGCTTTGACGTAAAGATATTTGGAGCCAAATGAACCTTTCTCTTTTGGATATATTTTAGAAAAAGGAAAAAGGAAAGGGAAAGTAATTCTTAGTAAAAGAAAATGATACATAGGATTGTGTATCTTTTAATTTTGAACTTTTACTTTTGTTTAGCTGGAGGTTATGCATTGTTTACAGTCTGGGTTTTCAACATATTTTTCAGTTTTGCATTGTTTGTTTGTTAATCTGATAAAAGTTTGCTGTCTGATTCTGTCAAATGTAAATTATATCTTATTTTGGCGCTCAAGGCACAGCGATGCTGGTGTCACAATCGTACAAGGGACAGAAAAAGAAAACATCCTCTTTGTCGCAGTCATAGTGCGTTGTTGCACCAGTTTCCCCTGCTAAGTTAGCTTTGGCAGTTGATCAGAAAAAAATGGCAAAAGATCAGTAGGGAGAGAAAAAAAAATTGTTTACAGATGATGTTAAAGCAGGTTTAGACTTGATTTAATTGTTTTGAAAAAACAAAAACAAAAATATGGCTTGCCAATTTAAAATTGAGAGTGATAATCTTTCATAATAATTGTGATAAAATATTTGAACAAAAAGAAAAGGAAATAGAGAAAATAGAAAAAAAAAAACATTTATCATATTTCAAACCTTTGTTTAACTAGGGCTTTAGAGTATCTAAGTCAGAAGTGAGGCAGGGATTGATTAAATTAAGACATCAAGAAGATGCATGATAACTCTTGATAATGGCACGAAAGGTGTAAGCAGGCCTTTTAAAGATTATAATTTTGTCCCAGTCCAATATTTATATCTATGGTTCTACAAATTTGAACAATTTAGATAAAAAAGATTATCAGTTTGATATTGCAAACTGTTTACAGATAAAATCTTTTTCTGTAGGACCAAAATCAGTGGATCGGGGTTTACAGTATTAGACCTTGCATATTTTCAGAATTTTCTGACAGTTTGTTGCTCACTGATACTGGTACTTAAGTATTTTTTACTAATAATGGGAGGGGAGAGATGGTGAGGGTAAGGGGGCTAGGAAAAAAAATACTTGGATCAGAAATAATAAAGAAGAATTTGGGGGATAAGAATTATGGGGTGCTTAAAGACATATATTATATTTGAAATAAGTAATTTTACAAATGTTTAAAAAAAATAAATACATGAGTAAAAAAGACAGAAAGTTATGACATATGAAATTCCACAGTTCAAACCCTTGTCATGTCCACTTCCCATTAGTAACCCCTGCAACTGGACTTATCAAACCTGAAACCAAATAAATCAACACAAGCAAACCTTGAGAACTTGCATAACATTGCTTGCAGCAGTGAGCAGTCCATACATCACAGGAAACCTTCAATAAGCCTGTCTTGTAAAATAACATGGTGGATATTAGTTATCTGGGTCCCCATCTTCTGGCTGACAGACTTTCCCACCCTCTGAGTCGAAGCCAGCTTGTTGCACCGTGTAACTGGAAATTGGCAGCAAAAGTGTTATTCAATGAAAAAGATTTATTTGTTGAAAGTGATGGGAAGAAATTTATTTCGCGATTGGGTCCTTTTTTTAGTACAAAATTGTTTAATTTGATGAATTATATTGTTACAGAGACAAAAAGATTGTTAGCAGATATTTGATAATGATCAGGCAAAAAATCTTTAAATCAGTAAATAAGATCAATGTATTTTACATGCTGGATAATAAATTGATTTTAGACTTTGTGGAATTTCATTAAGTCATTATTAATACAAGAATGTCTCTAAAGTAAAATAAAAGGGGGGAAAACAAAATGACAAGGAAAGGACACACAGAGGAAGAAGGAGTAGGTGAGAAAAGGGACTAAATAACTTTAATGAACTCTGAACGGCAGTTCATCCCCAGAATTAAGTGACCAGGTATGCAATAAACTCTTCCTGGCCTCAGGTCCTTAATGAATGGTTCCTGTTACACAACTTTGACATAATTATGGAAGTCTCTCCCTGACCACAACCATTTGCTGGACTGACTACTCCAACTAGCTCTATTCTTGAACCGTGAGCAACCATCCATGGCGCAGAAACATATTGTTAGCCTGCCTCCATATTTGCATAAAATGGTTGAATGGGCATACTGAGATATAAGAAGTGAGGCTGGCCACACTTTTAGAAGTCAGGCAGTCAGGGCTTAGTGAGAGAGGGAAGTGGACACTATATCAGGTCTTGTTCAGAGAAAGCAGAGCAGCTGGCCTTGTGACATTGGTTACAGACTTCCCATGGTGTATTTATCATTCGGGCCCCTTTGAAGTGGTACAAGATTTTTGTGATATTTGTTTGTAACTTTCTGTCAATAACATCCAACACAACAACAGCATGCCTGTGAGTGCAGAATACGGAGCTGAGTATTACAGTTGTAGGCAGACATATTGCACGCCGTATGCAGACCCCAGAGATTATTTGTACTATGGTTATAATTATGAGGTAAGAAAAAAGTTATGTTTGAACAGGTTTCATATGAACGGGTGTCCAGTTATGAAGGATGTTGTATTTGTTTCAATAAGTGTGGAATGAGGTTGTAGAATATTTCCTCAAGGTTAGAGAAGATGATTTTATTTTATTATTTTAAGTAAAAGTAAACCAATTAGGTGATGAAAAAAATGATTTCAGGAAAAAATGATTGGAAATGGATTTTCTGTTTAATATTGTTGAAGTAAAGATGTAATACTGAAATTAAACTCTCTGCGTCCTGAAAAAGAGGATAAAACTTTGTCTTTTGGCTTGGCTTCAAAAAGTGATTTACAAAGTAAATTTTGTAGAAAAAAAGGAAAAAAAGAGAGAGAAAAAAAAGAGAAAAATGATCTTCACAAATTCCCACTTACAAAGAATTAAAATCAAGATGGCAGTAGTGATATATATATTTTGAAGTGTCCTGGTATTTGTAACCAATATTAATGAAATCCCAGGGCCTCACAGGCGTTCATATTGTTTTCCCTTCTGTAGGAGCTTTCACCTTGAGAGAGAGTTCGACTTTGCACTCTCCCACTGTTCATGCAGAATCTAATGCTGACTGCTATATTTGTGGTATCAAGTCATATTTGCCCGGAAACACAATAGGAAGACAGAAAAAAGGCAACCCTTTGTCACAAAATGTTACAAAAATGAATTTTCTTTTTTGTATATCCCATATAGTTATTTCCAGCAGAAACCATAGCTTTTTATCGTGTAAAACTTTTCTAGAATTAAATTCTAGAGTTTCAAAAATATGTGTAGGTTTGTCTTTAAGTGTGTATTGTATTCATATTAAAGTATTTCAATGGTCCATTAATTTTAAATACTTTTAAGGTCATGCCATGTGATATTTTCCAAAATATTTTTAAAGTGGCCATTTACTGTAAAATTTGTTGATATTAATATCCTAGATACCAGTAGATATGATAGAACTCTAAACATTCACTGTTGTCCAATCAGATCAGTTTTCTCATCAGATTCATGACCCTGTGTAAAAGGTCTGATCTTCCAATCAGGAAAGTTTTATCATCAGTTTTTCAAATCCAACACGAAACATTAGGACCAGAAACAATAGTCATTAGATAAATTTTCCCATAATTAGATATATTCATCGATAAGTATATATTATAGGTGAATGTATGAACATAACAAAAACAATCTGTACGTATGAGTAGGTCGTGTTTGTGCAAAGCTAGGCTGTTCATTGTCATGCAAAGATGCCAATTATTTCTGTGTTAAAAACAAATGAAAACTTGTTGACAGCATAACATCGCAATCCATGCTGAACTTTCTTTATGAAGAAATCCACATCAGGTTTGATTAAAGTAAATTTGGGATTCGGCAAATGTTATTTTTGTTTACCCGTCATGACATGCTAGGTTGGGTGAAAGACCCTTATTAGGAGCAATTTGTCAGTTGGATTGAACCAGAGCAAGGACTTTAATATAGGGTAATAAGGTTGACTAGCCATTGTTAAAAGGTTAGTGTTTAAAATTAAGCGCTCTTTTTTTTTTCAAAAATTAATGAGAATGCCCTTCAAAAGTTTTTGTTGAAGTGAAATTGATTTTTTTTTGCAGAAATTTGAGTTCAGATTGCCACTGAAAATAATTGTAACTGATTGGATTTTTTTAAATTTATAATTTAAGTGTCCTTGTTTGAGCTTGAAAGGCTGGCATGTGAGGACAGAGATGACCCCCACTTCCTTTCCCATAGCCCAAATATACTCTTCGGTCAATATCAACTCAACGGTCATTCAAAGCTGGACATAGATAACAGCAAGACCCACAATGATGGTTTCTTGTTGCTTTCCTTTTATCAAAGTACTTCACAAATAAGTTGAACTAGTTGTGGACTTTTTTCCCTTGAGAGCTTTTTGACAAAAAACTTCACAGTTATATTGTGATGTTTTCATTGCTGTTTCACCTTAATTGGTTTTTGGGAGAAAAATCATTCATGTGACTTACATGAAGTTTTTATCACTATTATTTTCACTAGAGTCTTTCTATTTCAGCAGAATGGAGCAGCGTTTGGGATCATTGTCTCAGAGATACCAAGCTGATTCTTCACAAGAAATTTGAGGAAATGAAATGAACCATTTCTGTTTTAATTGCAGGTCAAAACCAGACTAGAGAACCCCACAAGATACTATGTGCAGCAGACGCAAAAGCGCCAAATTCAGAGCTACATCACGCACTCCAAGGACGACCTGGGCACGCACTCCATGCCTGCGATGACCCACCATTACGACACGGGGCACCAACTCCACAGTAGCAGCATGCCAGTGGCTCCTGACAGCCCCTTGTCAGTAGGTGTCAGCAGCACTTGTACCAGTGTCTCAGAGGTGAGAAATTATTTCAGAAGAAACTCTTCTCTTTTTGCATCATTTGTTCTTAGTTGTACTCATTTAAAAGTTGAGACAGTTGTCATAATATTATTGAGTTATTTGTCAATCTTTGAAAGCTGTGCAAGTACTCAAAAGAAAATGAAAGTCTGTAAAATGGTCAGTTCAGTATGAAAAAGAAAAAGCATTCATCAAATAAATAGGTATTGTATTATATTTGAGGTAGAGTAGTTGCCATATATAACTGGTGTTAATCCAAGAGATTTGAACGCTGATTATCATAAGATATCTGATTTGATGTCACTTTGCTCACAAGGAGAGTGATGAGAAACATAAAGATGAGATTGAGATATTTATCTTTATTGTCAATTAAGGCATTTAAGAGCTTGCAGCACTCAAAAGTTGCTATTGTAAATAAATAACAGCACAAACTATCTTTAATTGGCAGTTCTAGCCAGTAAGTTGAATTAATTATTCTTTCGAAATTCCCTTCAACTTCTTTGATCTTGGCATTGAAGACACATATAGGATGAAAACAATACCTGTAATTGTCAAGGTAGCACAAAAGTGATAAGTCTGTGAGAAAAAATCAAAGACTTCTGAAAAGTGAACTTGATTGGTCCCCCCTCGGGGCTAGTCTGTTGTCTTCCATTGTTAACTGCCCAGTGAAATATGGGGCACAGTTAACCTTATCAATGTCCAGATGAACCACTCAGATACCGTCTGGACAATAGTGGGTTCATTAAGCAGATCTTATCTAGGGAGTAGCCAGGCAGGAGGGCCTTTAGGAAGAGGGGGAGGGAGGGGCGCCTGTGCACCCAGACGTTAAGCATTTAAACCTCTACTTAAAGGATTCCTGTACACAATACATGCTTCCTGAAATGGTCAGGTATACTGTAATTAATGACAAGAGATGCAAGTCAATTTGCTTTGATAGTCTGTAATGAAGGGTCCATTAGCAGTGGAGCTTCCTTAGCTAGGAGGGGGGTGGAGCGTTGGGGTGGACCTCTCTACTAATGGAGTAGCCATATAGTACACAAATAACACGGTGGACTTACCTGGGTTAACAGGGTGCTTACTGTGTCCTGTATAATAACAGGTGAGATATGAACACTGATTAGGCACTGATCAAAGGGCAAATAACAACAGAGCACTGCAAAACAGGATTAGAATAGAACAAATGATGCGTAGAAGGACCAGATCTCTCTCAGGCAAAAGATATTTTTGTTTTAACCAAATTTGCTAGATTTTTTTAATTGAGTTTCACACTTAATGGTAAAACAAATGACAGATAGTAAAAAATATATTTTTGTTTAAATGACGTTTTCAGCCTTTGGTTATATTTTTACAAGAGAGCAGAAATAGGAGTCCATACTAAATATTGAGACATTTTTATATTTTTCGTGTTTCAGGCAGATGATATTTTGGGTGACTTTCTCAACCTTGAGGCAGTGGACCCCTCCATGGACAGTGACCTGAACTTTATAGAGCCAACACTGACTCAGATGTCCTCAACAGTAAGTTGTCCTTTATGAGTAAACAGTTATAATGCTTGGCCTCTTGCCAGTAATTTCAAGGAGGAGGTGGGTCTTTTTCTGAAACAGTGGACCTTTTTCTTCCCAAAGACCGAACATGAGAAATGTCATAGAAATCTAACCCCTAGGTAAAATTTTGAGAGAGAGAGAGAGAGAGCAAGCAAGCAGACCTTTCTAACCAAAATAGAAATGATCTTTCCAGTTACACAGAAGAAATAAATAAAATGAATAAATTAAAAATTAAATATATACAAAAAATTTTTTTGATCACAAATGCAACTCTCTTCAGGTACCTCACTTTAACTATACACATGAATATTATGGAGCCACGGGCACAACAGCTCGTGGAAAATCGTCCAGCTCTTGTCCGGCAGACATCTTGGTGAAGAAGGAGACGCCAGGCTATCTGAATGAGGATGAGGCCAGAATGTGGGCCAAAGAAAGACAGAAGAAAGACAATCATAATCTCAGTAAGTAAACTGACCTACGTTGTACTCTGTGTTTTTAGTTGGGTCAGATTTGACAATTATTAATCTGATAAGATTAGAAAAGAAGATACAGGACTTATGGATACTTTTTAAATTCTCATTGATGTCATGAATATTTTATAAAGAGAAAAGTGGGTCAACATAACTTTAGAAAAAGAAATAAAGAAAATTCTACTTAAAAATATTGTTTCTTAGAGGTTATTAATTATCATATTGTCTTGTTGCAGTTGAAAGAAGGAGGCGCTTCAACATTAATGATAGAATCAAGGAGCTAGGAACTCTGCTACCCAAGGGATGTGACCCGTAAGTATCAAGCACTTGGGCAGTGACTTTTTAAATGTTTCCTAGTTTTCTAGAAAGTCCAGAGTTTTTCTAACTTCAAAATTTGTTCAGGAAGCATTTTACGAAATATAACTCAGTGTTTTAATTGTTTCTGCCTATCCTAGCCTACTTTTTGTCCCAGCAGTTCCTTTGCATCAAGAAGTTTCTGAATAAATTTAAACATTTAAAGGGCTTTCTTCCCACCCAAAACTTTTACCTTATCTTTCATAGTGATTTTCATTACAGGGAAAAGGACATGAGACAGAACAAAGGAACCATCCTCAAGGCCTCGGTGGACTACATTCGCAAGTTGCGGAAAGATCATGAGAAGTTGAAAATGATGGAGGAGCGACATCGGAGTTTAGAATCCACAAACAGAAAAATGATGCTCAGAATACAGGTGAGTAGTTTTCTTGTTTTGCTTGGAAATTTATAGGACAGTGTTTTGGGTTGAGATTTTCTATTCATTTTCATTGAGAATAGGTTTCCAAAAGTCAGTTTCTCTTTTGAGCTTGGCTGACTTTGTCAGTTCTTGTTTTTCTTTTCCCTTTTTTGTTTTTTCTCCAACGTGATAAATTTGTACATACAAAATGAAAAAAATCTGTATATGAGAGGTAGTGATAGCAGTTACGAGTAAAGATATAGCAACAAGAAACCATATATAACAGAAGATATGTAGGCTGTCTGATACATTTTTAAATTTGCTAGATAAGAACCAGATGTTTTTTTCACTTTTGTGCTACATTGCCAACAGCTGTTTTAAATTATATGTTGAACAACTGAATGGCCTTCAACACTGGATAATATTTGGCATGTACTTGTACACATATAGCAAGTTACCCTCTCTCAATGGTCCGTGTGTATCTGGGCTTCAAATGTTGAAGATGTTGTGATAAAATAATATGGTTAAATAGAAATATTGGTGATATACTTATGCCACAAGATACAGGGATGGGGACATATCTATTGTTATCATGTTAATATTCTTTTTCGCAGAGCAGGGTATAAAACTTCATAAATATGATATAATATACAGAGTTAAAGAATTTTTTTAGACAGTTAAAAGGTGTTAGGAAGAGGTACCTTGTCATGTTTCTGTGTGTGGAGCCAATAAATCTAAGTTCCATATTGTCCATTTTGGAGTCAATAAATCTAAGTTCATGGTTGTCCATTACTTGACCCCCAAGTAGACATTGGCAAGAAAGATTATTATCAAGTACATCTTAATGATTGATAAGTTAGTTACAAATGAGATATGGGAGCTAGACATGGCCATTCTTTACTCAGTTATCACCAGTGGCAGGGGCATTTCTCTCTGTCTTGTTGACACTTCGAAACAAATTACTAGATTTCTCTGTAAGATAAAGCATTTTCATCGTAATCATCAAACCCTGGTCTTGTTTTTGAGGGATTGTGGGAATTTGCTTACATCTTTTCTCACTAGAGTTTTTTGTAGGGGGATGTCTGATATTCAAAAGTAGTATTTGCATGAATAACTTAAACATGCATTCATTGCTTCTCTGGGACTTTGAAGTAATTTGAATAGGTGTTTTTGTCTGTTTTGAAAAATAACTAAAACAAAAATGTATGAAGTTAACTATTTGTGACAAGTGCTTACTTAGACTTAATAGTTATCACTTAAATGAGCAAGGGATACAAGTAAGCAAGTAATACAAGGACATAAGTATAAATCCTGGAATGTGATACTATGCTAGGGGGTGTATAAATAGGATGTTTGTAATTGGCATTAAAGTACAAATACGATTTGAAAAAAAAAAAGACAGTAACTCTGAAGTGAAACAGGACTCCACTTTCTTGGCAAATAATTCTTGTTTCAGTTTGATGCAATTTCACTCATGGCCAGTCATCCATTGTTTGCACTTGATCCTTGAACTTGTAGTTGTTTAGATAGAAAGTCATGGTGAATTAATCTTGCATTAATAACTAATTTGATTAGCTTAAACATGCACCCCCCCCCCCCCCCCCAAAAAAAAAAAAAAAAAAAAAAAAAAAAAAAAAAAAAAATCAATTAATTCCAAAAGTGTGTTGACCTTGATAAATTTGGCAGGGGAAAGTTTTGTTGACTTTTTTCTACTTATCAGAAAAACAAGCTTTTTCTTTTTTTGTGCCAGTGATGGTGACTTGCAAATTTTGAACAATGCGACATTTTCTCTTATCATCCTTGTGGTTGAATAGACTAATAGAGACCACAGACCAGACCTTATTAATACTTATTCTAGGATGCAAAGTATCTTGGATTCTAGACTTATTATAGTAACCTTATTTCTCCTTTTCTGTTAAAAAAGGTGATAATTTATGTTTATTAACATATTTGTGTAATTATAATCTAAACACGGACAGATTTACTTTGAAATAATACCAACAGTTTGGCTGACTTATAACTTCTGGGTAAATTTGGTTATCTCCCGAGGCTGGTATCTTAATGTCCAACCTTGGAGAAAGGGAGGGGGGAGGTTCTGGGTATTAAGTATACCAGGGCAGTGAAGTGTCAGCAAAATATATATTTGTTCTTGAGGGGCAATGACATTCGAGTTTCCAATGCACTGCCATATTTTCTTTACCTCTTGGGCAAATTGCCCTTGGGAGTTTGTACATATAGGGCTTGACAAGGATGATGTCAGCTGACAGGTCTGACATCACTTGCCACTTTGTTAGAGACTTAAAGAGAGATTTTTGCGAGATACTCTGCACCTATTATGAAAGGAACCCATGCCCTTTGTTTGTTTGTCATAGTATGATGATAGATTTTGTAAAATATACTTGGTTATGAGGATGTTTATGTTGCTAATCATGAAGAACATGTCATTTAAATCATTATTTATTGTTTTTCTTTATAGACATTTTAAAGACCCAACCTTGTTTTTTCTTAAATTAAATGCCTCCATGGCATTAAACATTACTCTTAAACTTAAGTTTCTGTTTCTTTTCTAGCAACTGGAACTGATGATGAAGTCACATGGTATTTCAAACCCAGCTCTCAGCCAATCAAATGCACAGTTACTTGGTGATGTCATCAAGCAGTCACAGCTCCCCCTACAGATCAAACAGGAACCTGTGGAACAAGGCGGCTGTATGTCCATGAATGGTGCTGCACCCATGATGGGAATTGAAGACATGGACGATGTTTCGCCTGTCAGTGGAGACCCAATGCTCTCGTCCTCTCCAACAGGAAGCAGACGAAGCAGTTTCAGTCTCGATGAACAGGACAGTCATGACTATATGGGTTAATTATGAAAGATTTATTTTTTGGGTGGTTTCACATGGTTGTTAGATGGTTTTGGTATACAATCAGTCACACACTGCTCTAAAACTGGAGAAACAGTTCCAAACGGTTTGTTTCAAACATGTTGTTTCTGTTGTAGTCAACTTCTCAAGGTTAATGATGGTCCATATCGGTTTGCTAAAATTTTAAAAGTATCTGATTAGCTGAGCCTCTGCTATAGTATCTGTCTACATAATGGACTTGCAACCTATGAAGTACCAAAATAGTGAAGTCATAGTCAAAAGCAGAGATAGAACTCCACACGAAGGAGGTTTCCACTCATGCTTTTGCCAATATCCATCATCAAGTAGCTGTATGTTACTGAAAATGTGAGCATGACAAAATTCCTTACATGAATACAAAAATTTCCAATTACTCAACTTCTGTATGTAAAAACGTACAAGGTTCACACGCAAATCTTTAATATAAATGTGATAACCTTTGAGGATGGGCGTCTTTCTTCTTATCTCATTCAGTGCCATCTAAGATAGAGGAAAATGCCAAAGGTGGGGTAAAACAGGTGTATATAAGGTTGAGAAGTCATTCCTCTTTGACTATGATTTCCATTTCAATCTGAGATTGAAATTGGAAGCAAGTTTGGAAACAGTATGTTCTCTAAGTCAAGGCTGGTAAAAAAAAGTTACTTATTTTTAAAAAATCACAACCATGAGGTTTATGTTTTACAAGGTGTTACTTTCCTAGCCAAAAAATATAAAAAAAGATTCCAGGAGTTCATACTGGAAATTTAAAATGACAAACGTACAATTATCACATCATTACTTTGGCAATTTGGTGAAAATGAAGTACAAACCAGGTAAACGAGGAGCCAAGAATATGTCGAACAAAGATGTACTGTCCATGTCATTATTATAATCATGAACTGTTTACATGTTATCTGTTACTTGACAAGAAGGCTTGCAGGGCAAGACCTTAAATATGATTATTTTGTGTGAGATCTGTAACATATATTAGATAGTTTCATATGTTATGCAAGCAATCAAAAAGGGTATACATATGCAAGAATATGCTTTGTAAATTGCATGTGTACAGCAAAGTTAGATATGATAATGGCAGTGGTGATTAATTAAAGTGAAAAATTGCTGAGATCAGTAGTTTGTTCAACCAAAATTATAAGCAATTAAGGATAGCAATTTTGTTATAGTTAATTTCTTTTGTTTTTAACTAGAAAAAGAACTGATTGTTAAATTGGAGTACTCCAACTTTGTTGTAGTCTGTTACAGTTTATTTTTCTTTATTAATGTAAATAGTCCAAGCAACACTAAGTTGTCTTTCTTTCATTTTGCATCTTGTTTGCAGTAGCCTGGCCATTGTGCAATCTTATGCTGTAGATAGATCTGTTGTATATACTAAGTCCTATCTTGAATAGGACTGACACCTATAGTTTAGTTATAGTCTGAACAGCCTGGCCAATCAAAGACCAGAGAGGGGTTGTTCTTGCATTGAACTCCCTCTATTGTTAGTTATTATAATTAAGGTTGGTTTAGTTTCAGAAGCACTGATGTTTGATGCTATTACTTGTACATAAAGCTGATGGGAAAAAAAAACCAAGCACGCTGCACAGCACTGGGCAAAAAATGTTATGTATTCTTAAGCTTGGCTAAGTTAATGAGTAATTATTATTATATTAATTTTTGGTGGTACCTAGTATCCCATTTCTCGACTGGTGCACATGGTACAGTTGATTTGTACAGAGATATCTCCCAATATTATTATTATGATTTTTTTCAAAAAGGAGTTTGTAAATTATACAAAGATATACATTTATGCTTAAGGATATCAAATAAAAAAATTGAAGATATATCAGTGTTATAGTAATTGTTATTATTGCCAAATATATGGTATAATTTTTCATGATGAATAATGTGCAGTTAAGTTTGCTTCCACATATAAATGCTAAATTGAGAATTTAATTCTCATGTCAAACCATACAAATATTGACTGATATTTGAAAATCCCTGTGATTTTTGTACCTTTCAAAAGGCCTGCATTTTCCATCATGTGCATTTATTGCAACCAAATGTCAATTTGAGCATTAAAACAGATGTCCAGCCCTTCACAGTAACCATATATTTTTGCACTCTGTCTCAGCTGAGCAGCAATTTTATTACAAAAGCATGTTGAAATGCCTCTTTATATATAATGTTGATTTTTNGTTATCTTAATGTCCAACCTTGGAGAAAGGGAGGGGGGAGGTTCTGGGTATTAAGTATACCAGGGCAGTGAAGTGTCAGCAAAATATATATTTGTTCTTGAGGGGCAATGACATTCGAGTTTCCAATGCACTGCCATATTTTCTTTACCTCTTGGGCAAATTGCCCTTGGGAGTTTGTACATATAGGGCTTGACAAGGATGATGTCAGCTGACAGGTCTGACATCCCTTGCCACTTTGTTAGAGACTTAAAGAGAGATTTTTGCGAGATACTCTGCACCTATTATGAAAGGAACCCATGCCCTTTGTTTGTTTGTCATAGTATGATGATAGATTTTGTAAAATATACTTGGTTATGAGGATGTTTATGTTGCTAATCATGAAGAACATGTCATTTAAATCATTATTTATTGTTTTTCTTTATAGACATTTTAAAGACCCAACCTTGTTGTTTTTTCTTAAATTAAATGCCTCCATGGCATTAAACATTACTCTTAAACTTAAGTTTCTGTTTCTTTTCTAGCAACTGGAACTGATGATGAAGTCACATGGTATTTCAAACCCAGCTCTCAGCCAATCAAATGCACAGTTACTTGGTGATGTCATCAAGCAGTCACAGCTCCCCCTACAGATCAAACAGGAACCTGTGGAACAAGGCGGCTGTATGTCCATGAATGGTGCTGCACCCATGATGGGAATTGAAGACATGGACGATGTTTCGCCTGTCAGTGGAGACCCAATGCTCTCGTCCTCTCCAACAGGAAGCAGACGAAGCAGTTTCAGTCTCGATGAACAGGACAGTCATGACTATATGGGTTAATTATGAAAGATTTATTTTTTGGGTGGTTTCACATGGTTGTTAGATGGTTTTGGTATACAATCAGTCACACACTGCTCTAAAACTGGAGAAACAGTTCCAAACGGTTTGTTTCAAACATGTTGTTTCTGTTGTAGTCAACTTCTCAAGGTTAATGATGGTCCATATCGGTTTGCTAAAATTTTAAAAGTAACTGATTATTTAGGTGGTTAGCTGAGCCTCTGCAATAGTATCTGTCTACATAATGGACTTTTAACCTATGAAGTACCAAAATAGTGAAGTCATAGTCAAAAGCAAAGATAGAACTCCACACGAAGGAGGTTTCCACTCATGCTTTTGCCAATATCCATCATCAAGTAGCTGTATGTTACTGAAAATGTGAGCATGACAAAATTCCTTACATGAGTACAAAAATTTCCAATTACTCAAATTCTGTATGTAAAAATGTACAAGGTTCACACGCAATTCTATAATATAAATGTGATAACCTTTGAGGATGGGCGTCTTTCTTCTTATCTCATTCAGTGCCATCTAAGATAGAGGAAAATGCCAAAGGTGGGGTAAAACAGGTATATATAAGGTTGAGAAGTCATTCCTCTTTGACTATGATTTCCATTTCAATCTGAGATTGAAATTGGAAGCAAGTTTGGAAACAGTATGTTCTCTAAGTCAAGGATGGTAAAAAAAAGTTACTTATTTTTAAAAAATCACAACCATGAGGTTTATGTTTTACAAGGTGTTACTTTCCTAGCCAAAAAATATAAAAAAAAGATTCCAGGAGTTCATACTGGAAATTTAAAATGACAAACGTACAATTATCAGATCATTACTTTGGCAATTTGGTGAAAATGAAGTACAAACCAGGTAAACGAGGAGCCAAGAATATGTCGAACAAAGATGTACTGTCCATGTCATTATTATAATCATGAACTGTTTACATGTTATCTGTTACTTGACAAGAAGGCTTGCAGGGCAAGACCTTAAATATGATTATTTTGTGCGAGATCTGTAACATATATTAGATAGTTTCATATGTTATGCAAGCAATCAAAAAGGGTATACATATGCAAGAATATGCTTTGTAAATTGCATGTGTACAGCAAAGTTAGATATGATAATGGCAGTGGTGATTAATTAAATTGAAAAATTGCTGAGATCAGTAGTTTGTTCAACCAAAATTATAACTTGTAAGCAATTAAAGATAGCAATTTTGTTATAGTTAATTTCTTTTGTTTTTAACTAGAAGAAGAACTGATTGTTAAATTGGAGTACTCCAACTTTGTTGTAGTCTGTTACAGTTTATTTTTCTTTATTAATGTAAATAGTCCAAGCAACACTAAGTTGTCTTTCTTTCATTTTGCATCTTGTTTGCAGTAGCCTGGCCATTGTGCAATCTTATGCTGTAGATAGATCTGTTGTATATACTAAGTCCTATCTTGAATAGGACTGACACCTATAGTTTAGTTATAGTCTGAACAGCCTGGCCAATCAAAGACCAGAGAGGGGTTGTTCTTGCATTGAACTCCCTCAATTGTTAGTTATTATAATTAAGGTTGGTTTAGTTTCAGAAGCACTGATGTTTGATGCTATTACTTGTACATAAAGCTGATGGGGAAAAAAAAACCAAGCACGCTGCACAGCACTGGGCAAAAAATGTTATGTATTCTTAAGCTTGGCTAAGTTAATGAGTAATTATTATTATATTAATTTTTGGTGGTACCTAGTATCCCATTTCTCGACTGGTGCACATGGTACAGTTGATTTGTACAGAGATATCTCCCAATATTATTATTATTATGATTTTTTTCAAAAAGGAGTTTGTAAATTATACAAAGATATACATTTATGCTTAAGGATATCAAATAAAAAAATTGAAGATATATCAGTGTTATAGTAATTGTTATTATTGCCAAATATATGGTATAATTTTTCATGATGAATAATGTGCAGTTAAGTTTGCTTCCACATATAAATGCGAAATTGAGAATTTAATTCTCATGGCAAACCATACAAATATTGACTGATATTTGAAAATCCCTGTAATTTTTGTACCTTTCAAAAGGCCTGCATTTTCCATCATGTGCATTTATTGCAACCAAATGTCAATTTGAGCATTAAAACACATGTCCGGCCCTTCACAGTAACCATATATTTTTGCACTCTGTCTCAGCTGAGCAGCAATTTCATTACAATAGCATGTTGAAATGCCTCTTTATATATATTGTTGATTTTTTTTAATGTGATTTTCATCATCAATATTTACATGTGCCACTTTTATTCAAAAATGAAGAAAATTTCAAAAAAATCTGGATTTATGTATCATACCAATAGGTTCTTATGGCATCATAATGGAAACGGAAGCCCCTTCACTCCCGTGCCCTACATATGGTAACTTAAACCATCCATATTGCCTCGTCAAACAGGTCTTTCCTTAACTAAATTCTGTTTTCAAAAGCGTAATGGGTAGATAACTGTCTACTGAAATATTTTACGCCTGAAACCATTTACTTTGCATGAAAAATCCTTGTACAACACTAGACAATATTAAAAAAAAATTTAAAATAAGTCTTCATTACGTGTCATCCACGTTTTCTTTGTCACTGTTCTCTGACTCCACCTCCCGAAGAGTGGAAGAGAAGATGGGCCCCTTGTGTATGGAGACTCTCTCTGCCAGGGCCTGGGCTTGGTGCACCTGTTCCTCCTCCAGCTGTTCCAGTCGCTCCTTTAAAAGGCGCAGGTCTCGCTGGTGGGTTTTCTCCTTGAAATAAAGGGAGGAAATTTTTTTTTAAAAATGTAACACAGAAGGACTTATCGGGAAATAGGAATAACAAAAAACGGTTGACGGGATTTGGAGCAAAAATGTGTGCAAGTTTGCTTCAGTTTTTGAAAAATAAATTATGAGATGATTCTGGACAAACTCAGGCTGAGTGAATTTTACCTCAAATGAAATTGCCAATAAAATATACTCAAATCAGGCTAAAAAAACATGTTACCTTTGCATCTACCATTATTGGTCAAATTCATTTTTGATTTAGTTCACACTTCTTAATGAACTCAAACTATCATCCCACAGTGAGCCCAGAGATGAGTTTTAAATTAAAATACAATATATTTACCTGTTCTACAAAGCTCAAGGCAGGTGCACTGAGGTCCATAGGCACAGACATGGAAGCAAACGTGTAGTTTCCTATGGGGACGTTGGTGGTTGTACCTGAGATCAGGACCTGGCGGAATTCATTGTGTCGTCGCTGGAGGTCTTTGAGTTGCTTCTTAAGGCGATTGTGGATTTCTTGTGGCACATTTTTACTGAAATTTTGATAATTGTTAAAATTGTGTATGATATTAATTACTTACAAGCAGTATTTTTCATAATCTTTAAGGGAGGGTAGACAAGATTGTTGTTGTCTTCTGTATCTTCTCATTTTTCTTTTAGACATATGACTTGATTGCTAAAAACAGCAGAGTGCCTATTTGTTGAATGAGCTTACAAACTCAAAAAAAGAAAACTATTTCGACTGTTTCTTAAAATATATATATATATTTCCCATGGTCCAATAAAATGGTCACAGGACCCAAAAGGACCAACTTAAACTCTTCCCTTCAGATGTATATATATATATATACCCCTCAGTTCTTACTTCAGCACATCTCTTTCCATCTGAACTTCTTGCAGAGAGGCCTCCAGCAGCTGAAGCCTGTTCTTTAGTTTGGTGTGTAGTTTGCTGTACTGTGCCTTCCTCTGAGAAAAGAAAATAAAATGAGAGAATATACACATTTTCATTGAAATAAGAGCCAAATTGCAGCCCACTTAAATTTACAGACTTTAGGGCTTTCAAGAGACATTCTACACAGGCTCCCACACTTCTTTTGAGGAATTTCGAAATATTCTTAATAATCTGAAAAAAAAGGATTAAAAAAATGATGGTTGGTTAATTGTTCAAATTTTAACATTCTGAGACTTGGCAGCATGGCTGAATACTGTATCAAATTAATAAAAAGTGGGTAAAAAAGTAAGCAATGTTCCTAAAGACACTAAACATGTTTCTATTTGTGTGACATTACGTGTTTTCACCAGCTTTTTACAAGAAACAGTGAAGAAAAAAATAAATAGCAGCCAAAACTGAAATAGGCTGAGATCACTGAGATCATGTGATATAATAAAATTTTTATATGGGGCACAGTTATACCTTTTTCTGTACTGCTGTTGCCTGAGTAAGTTTAGTATGTGTGTCTTCCAGCTCCCTTGTCAATTCTTCAACCCTCTTCTGTAACTCTCCCTTCTCATCGGCCCAGGCACCTCTGTGCTGCGCTAAAACTTTATCTCCTTCTCGCTCTGTCCTCTTCACCTGCTCCCGTGCCTTGGAGAGGTCAGAGGCTGTCGCAGACAGCTGTGTCTGAAGCTTGTTGACAAGTTCACTGAGTTCCTGCTCGCTGTTCAACAGACTGTTGTAATCTGTGTCCAGTTGGTGGATTTTTGTTTTGAGTTCGGAGTTTTGGGAGCGTTCCTGCTCCAGTTGCATTTCCATGGACTGGTATTGCTGCAGTTTGGTTCTACAGAGAGGAGAGAACAAAAAAACACATTCTGGTTGGGTTGTAATTTTGGTACTAAAGAACACACACATCTACTGAAATGTTTTTTTTTATTCAATTAATAACCCAGAAAATATCACATTAAAGCAGGTTTCTCTGCTGTAGTAACAAGCATACATTCACTCATCTCTAACTAGAGAAATTATTGTAGTCCTTTCACTAAATGTCTTTTGATAAACTGACAGTAGTATCCTTTAAAAAAAAGATGAAAAAAAGCCAAATTGTCCAATTGTCCCCCCCCCCCAAAAGGAAGTTATTTTACCTGAGCACTGCACATTCTTTCTCAGCAGCTTCCTGTGACCCATGTGCTGCCTTGATTTGTTCCTCTGCCCTCTCCTTGTCAGCATGTCGCCGCGCCTCTTCATCGATTTTTCTCCTTTCAATCTCTTGGAGTTTGGCCTCCAATTCCAACCTGGCAATTCAAACAATTGAAAACATTCAAGATTGATAAAGAGCATGATATGATTGAGTCTGCCATATTGTGAGCAGAAAGGCATGTTTGAATATAATGACATATTCTATGCTTTTATACTCATATCTGGTACTTCAAAAAAATTTGTCTTTTTTCTTTGTCTGAGAGGAGCTGACTCTTTAAAAGTAAAGTATCACAAAAAGCATTGAACAAATAAGCTTCAGCTTGAAAAGTAAACAAGGAAAGTGCATGGCAGTGGCAAGTTAAACACAGATGCAATGACAGATGCAGGTGATTGCTGTATGTCCAGATACAATACTGCCTGACCTTCCATAGAAACATCTGAAAAGTGAAATATCTTCAACTCGGATCTGCAATCAATTATAATTATAGAATACTTCCAGTTACTCTACCTCTCAGTCTCTAGTTTGTTTGTTCTCTCCCACTCCTCCTCTCTAGCAGATTGCACTTTCTTGGCACACTCGCGCTCCTTTTCCAAAATGGCCGCTGCCTGTTGCTCCATGGAATGTTTAGTGACATCGATCTGGGCCTGGAGGTCTAAGACACAATAGAAAGGATTAGACAATGAGAAAATATCTGGGTCTGCCATATGATAAAATTCAGTAAAACTGTGATTTCATTCTTTATTCTTTAGTAGACAGAGGCAATGCCTAAAAGCATACAAAGAGAGGCAAGGTATATAGTTACTTAATTCCCATATTATTTTAAATGTAACAAAATGTCAGGGCTATCAATGAATTCAAGGTTCTTTCATTGGGAGTTCAACCCCCTTTGATATATGCAACATACACCATGTCAAAATGATTTGTTGACAACATCTTAGGGGATTAACAACATCATAATCAAGCTTACCTTCTACTTTAGTGAGTAAACCATCTCTCTCCCTCTCCAAGTCCCCCCTTTCCCGGACCAGCTCCATCCTCATGTTGCTGAGGTCCACCTTGGCCTTGTGACTGACCTCCTCCATCTTGTTCTTCAGCACGGTGTTGTCACGCTCCAGCTGGTGGATCTTGCTGGTCATCTGGGTGTACAGGTCCGAGGTGGACGTCAGCTCCTTCTGGAGGTTCTCGCACTGCAACCTGAGGGCTTGTTTCTCTGTCTATGATTATTAAGGGAAAACACTTAATATTCACTGGAAAAATGACATTTTCCAATTTTTTTTTAGAATATCAATAAACAAAACATTTTATATTAAGGCACACTCCTTCATTTGATATATTTGTTTTTTTTTTAAAAGAAAATCTCTTTATCTATATATTCTTTCATATATTCATTTACCAATAAAGTTAATTTATCTCTCATATTCTGATACAGCTGTAAACATACAGCTCTGCTTCAAATAACCCAAAACTTTACATGAGCATATATATTTATTTACTATTTTTTTTTATTTAGTTATACATGGGTGTTAGTATGACAGCATGAATTTTCACTATGTCAAAAATAATCAATATAATAATAATTAACGAGTAGCACATGTAACTGTATCTACCCACCTCTAATGCCTTGATGTTAGCCGAGTGTTCTGCCAGTTGTTTTCCCTGCAGCCTGGAGACATGGTCAGACTGCATTCCCATGTGTTCCCTCTGTGCCCTGATCTCCTCCAGCTCTGTAAGCAGCCCTTTGATCTTCAGCTGAAGTTGAGAGTTCTCACGCTGTACGACGCGAACGCGCTGTGCATCTCCGGCAGTGTCAGTGGTCTGGCGTGCGAGGATCACTTCGCGCTCTTTTCTTAAGTTAGCAACCTGAATAATAAAAATGAAAGTAATGATATCATATTCTACAATTATTGACAAAACAGATGCAAAATACAAAAACAAATAGTTAAGAACATATGGCAACTAATTAAAATGTTTTTTATATCAAAGGCAGAAGCAAGTGCACATGCACTGACACCTACACACACCCATACATGACCATAAACTAAAAGTACACTGATGGGGGAAAAAAAACTCACCTCTGCCTCATGCTGCAACTTCATGTCCTCCACCAGTTTCTTCTGTTCCTCCCTCTCATGCTCCATCTCTGATTTGAGAAAGGAGAACTCATACCTGAGCTTGTTGTACTGGTTCCTGTAGCCCTCTACCTCGCTGTCTAGAGTGGTGAATTTCTCCCTGTAGGGTCCCTCTACCTCTTCAGCAATCTGCATGCGAATCACCTCTAGCCTTTGTGGGGTTACAACCTATATAATAATTTTTAACAGTGTAATTACTTCTGCAATATAAGGACTGGCCTTCCATCATATGCCAGTCAAATTGGAGCCAAGACAATAACCTTTTTCATTTAATATTAACAATTTGTTCTTTAACTGTCTTTTTTTTTTTTTTTTTGCTGTGCACTTAGTCTATTGTGCTTCAAATGGCTTGTAAACTAGGGGGTTCTTTTGTTTTGCGTACAGACTGGTAACATGATTCTAACACCACTTGACTTGTGAAAAAACAATGTGTATTTTAACATAATTCAGTGTTTTCACATGAATGTCTCATATCATATTTACGAAGATTTGTTATTACAAAACTTATTTCTGTCTTACTGTGCTTAATTCAGGATTTATATTTTAATAAAACCCAACACATTTCCCTAAATAACACCTTTTTTAAATCCCTAACCATCCTCTGATCATACCTGTGTTTTAAGCTCCTCTATTTCTGCCACTTTTGCCGAGGTCTCTCTCTGCGCCATCTCTATCTGTGTTTTGTACCTGTCCTGCATCATCTTGGCCTCCTCTATCGTTCTCCTCATCTCATGTTGCAGCTGCATGTGTTCATCCTGGAGCCTGGGATTTATAGCAATAAATAAATAAAATGGTTACATGATGCTATTACTATTAATATATATAATAATATAGCCTTAGTTTTAGGTCATATTTATACAATGTACCAAATGACCCTGGCCAACACTAGAGCCTTAAAAATTTAGCTGGTATTTGTACATTGTGCCAAATCACCCAACAGTTGTTTACAATGAAGTCTACCCCATAAAATTATCCTGATGACCCATTAACACCCCTCCCCCATTCGATTTCCCCTTTCTCTCTCTTACTTTGTTCTGCTGCAGCTGGCATTTTAATGTGTTTACAGAAATGGGTACAATTAGAAAGGATTCAATTTATCAATATCTGAAGCTTTCAAAAGATTCCAGTTATGAAAATTTGAAGCTTTCAAATGCTTATGATCAGGTACACTCTTCCTACATCATAAAATAATGGTCACTTATGAGAAAAAATATTCATTGCATAGAACTGCCTCATTAAACAAAATATATGTGATTGAATTTTACTCATATATAGAAGGCCAAATGCCACCCAAACTGGTGGGATCTGCTGTCAGCAACTAAAAAAATTGGCAATCCTCTGCTACTCACTGATAAAAGGTGGAAATGATAATATGGAAATAAACAGTTGAATTGTCTTGTCACAGATTTTAACAAAATTACTACTGTGAACACAGCAGCCAATACAAACAAACCTTGTGTGTTCTGCTTTCAGCATTTGATAGTTGGTCCTGTGCTGCTCACTGCGGATTTTCTCATCTGCCAACATCTTTTGCAGCTCTGTCTCCTGCATCAGTTTTGGCAGAGGAGAAGAAGTGAACCCTGGAGACAGGCTGGAAACCATACCGGACCCACTGCTAGCCATCACTGAAATCAAACACTTATGATATAAACTAGTAACATCAGCGGTCAGTCCAATGAATATATTTTTATTTGTAGTAAATTACTGTTCTGCCTTTCAAATTCAAAGCACATTTAGGAAAGGTTCTTAATTTTGACATATTTGTTTATATACTGAATTCATATTTAAACAACTTACAACAATTTGTACAGTTGGATCAAGGATATCAATCAACTAGCAATATATTTCCCTTTTATATCAACCTAATTTCTTGCAAATGACTGTATTCTGTATTTACTTGTGTCCAGAGTGTTCGGTCAGTAGTTTTCTCTAATATATTGTGCAGTATTCAGTGCTTTTATATAATCCTAGAATTTCTACTATTGCTATTAAAAAGCGATTTTAGCTTTATATGTATAAATTTTAGACAATGAAATATCTGTATCCTTCTTCGTGTCACAGTTTCACTTTGCCTCTGTTTTCGTTGCCTTATTTTACAAACTAGTTAAAACTGGGGCAACGCATTTCGGCTACTGTGGTGAGCACCTAGCATGTGAGAAAAAACTGAGACAAAGTTTGACTGCACTGCTGAGGACTTAAAAGTGTCAAACACACTCCAACTATTAAATTTTTGTCATTTACTTAGCTTGCTGGCTGACACAAGTTTATAAGAATACAACGGTATAGTATGCAAACCAGAATTTATAGGGAAGTAATATCTGCGCATTGCCTCGACATACTTATGTTCTCATTATACACACCTTTATATTTCAGGAAATCAATCCATGGTTAAGTAAAAGGGTCTAAATTAATGCATTTAATTTTGAGACCCGCTCCCGATTCAAACCATAACATCAGTAAACTTCCGGTGGCGGGTATTGTGGGACAAGTTCAAGATAGCCCCAACCCCAATATATTATTATTTTCTTTTACTGTGCACCACTCTTTACTTAATTTGCAATGGTTTTGATTAAATGTGTAACATAAAGAATGACCAAATAGGACTGTATTGTTTCCATAAACATATGTTTACTGACGCTAGTTTTAAATTCAACGCGAAGTTACTGGTACTTCGTCGGAAACGAGGACATCTAGTGGTCAGTTTTTGTAACAAGGCCTGTAATATTTAACCTTGATTAAAAGACGAAGAAAATTGCCAATGTTTTAGACTGATAGCTACTTATATGTCCCACCCCATTTTTATACTGTCGTGGAGTTAAAGTGATAACAACTCTTCTTTTTGGCGGAAAAGTGCCATATAAAACGGATTTTCCTGGGGTAATTAAAGGGATAATAACTCTTCGTTTCGGCCAAAAAATTAATTTTCCTGGAGTAAACAACAATTTTCCCACACTTACCAATGGTGAATGAATCCATTTTTACATTCAAAGTTAGTCCCTGGTTTTTTTTCTAAAAAGCTTGGTTTTTTGTTAAAATCTTTACCGAGAAAGTCTTAAGAGATTTTAACAGAGTATAGCCATCAATGGAGGTCACGTGGTCTAAAGACAATTGCTCAGATATCAGAATAATAGCTATAACTGCCGTTTTGAGGTAAAACAGAATATATTATATTTCTATGAGTTATTCACAATGTTTTTATTGTGAAATATAGATCTCATACGAAGAGTTATTATCCCTTTAAGCGACAATATTTTCCCATTTTTACTAATGGTTTAAAAACGATCGCGAATTGTGCCTTCTTACTGTCCGTTGTGATTTTTTAATAGTATAAATTGACTGAATAGTAGATTTAAATAATATCACAAGTGCAATGGTCCATTAGTGGTTCTTAAAAAGAGCTAATAACGCCATTTAAAGACACTAATGAAATATATTGTATAGGCCTATACTGCGTTAAAAAAGAGAAAACACATGCATTTTCCAGGAAGGAAAAGTTCGAGGTGCGCCAACAGGTAGAGTTTGTGTCTGAAATTATACAAATTATAAATTGCCTTTACCGAGAAAGTATTTGCACGAATTATAAACAGAAAAATTACCATAATATTTTTTCACCACTGAACGACATTTTCATATCAACATTCGTCAAAATTGAAATGGAATTTTTTTTTTTTTTTTTGCATTTTTCAGTGATATAGGCTACACAAGTAATTAATAACTTTAATGGAAAATTTACAACGGAAGGTTAAATCTCGACTTTAAAATGAGCAAAAAAAAGATACTTCTTATTAATGTGACGAAGTTATTGGCTTGTCTTCGTCATGTTACGCGAGGTAGCAAATACAACTCAGATATTATCTTTCTTATTATTTATTGAACTACTGTCCTGTTATTACCCGCGCCGCTTCCTTCATTTCTATTCCTACCTCATGCAATCTATAGTGGCCTTCTCTCTGTTTACACTAAGCGCAGTTGTATAAATACCATAAGAGCATGTCAATCAACTTAAGTTACTCTACGAAACACTCCCCGCTCTTATTCGCTGCACGCTGTCACTTACTAACGTTACATTAATTAACAGCATTTTATCTGTTCAATTCACACTTTGCATTATTGGATACATGTTTGCATCACTGAAGTTGCAGAATATTTAGGCTATACAACAATCATTTGTAAAAGTATTTTTTAAAACCTTTAGATTATTCCACCAACACAAATCAAATAGATGCAGCACTGATATTTTGCAAAAGTATGAGACAGTTTAAATTTTTAATTTACTGTTGGCAGATTTGGCAAAATCATTACCTGTATAAAAGATGTGAAAAATGCTAGTGGAAATGCAATGGGTCATGGTTAGGATGCAAAAATTATTGTTTGAAAAAGTAGACAAACTTTAATTCATTGACAAAAAATGTCAAAATAAAGTAATTGTGGAAACAATTTTCAGTATTTAGCGAGCAAATAACGTAATGACTTTTGCAACAAACTACAGAGATACCTCCGGAGGACAGCTCCCTACTAAACCTTCTGTCAGGCCTTCGTTATTATTGCCAAGGTTAGGCATAAACTAATATTAAGTTCAAAAGATTGAAATTTTAATTTTTTTGTTTGCCAAACAACAGTGGCAAAATAAAAAATACAGGAAGTATATATAACTCTATTTATGTCATGTTCGACTACCGGACTCTAACTACCGGTAGATCTCAAAAGCTGGGATTTTAAAGGGATTATTTTACATTAGTTTTTCATTGTAACTTATTCTTCCTTCAAACTTTTTCTGCCTCTACTATTTTTACAAAATGAATATGGCTAGTGGCAAGAGAGCTATTTATGAAGGTAAGTTACTACGTTTTATTATTTTTTTTTCAGTCTGCATAATGACAAATGAACTTTAATGCAAGCAATTCTCGCATATTTATGAGCACCGGAAGTGGTTGTGGGGACTCACGTTGTGGTGGTAGGTGCAGTAAAAAATAATCACACTCAAATAGTCCTACTGGTACATCGCGGAGTTTATAGCTGAGCACCCTTTCACTGAGTAAGTTGGACTCACTATACTGCCCAATGTATCCCATGCCTGAGTTATAAAAGAAGGAGTAATAGAAACTTTTGAATGTCACATTTCAAGAACAATAAGACAAGAAAAGCTTTGCTAATTTATTCATTTTCGTAAAATACACCACTGCTTCAATACTTTTGATAAACGCAGAAAAGCTAATGTGCTAATGTGCTAAAGTCGAACACCAAAAGTTTTGTAAGTTAAATGATATGCTTTAAATAAATAAATCTTCCAATGAGGTGTCTGAAGGGCAAAGCATCAACGAAAATTTTCAAATTGAAACGAAAGGATGACAATATTAATTCTGCTGGTAGACACGATTCATACAATTGTCCTCTTATCTTACCATCGTTACGATAGCTGTGTATTGCGTACTTTTTCATCCTTGCATTTAGAGTACGAGTCATGTTTGTTCTCCAATCAACAGAATTCAAGCTATTGAATATCTGCGAAAAGTTTCTCTTTTACAGTTTATTTGCCCTCTCGTAGTAACGTTAACGTTGACAACTACATATTAGGAAGCAAATGTGCATTATTTGCATCTTTTCAATGTGCACTTTTTATAATTAAAATTCGTAATTATAAAAACATGTCTCTACCCCGAAAAATGTCCCCGTTGCTGTATCTATGGTAAAAATGCCGTAAGACTGTACCTTTTCCCAACTAACCGTGGACATGTTAGTCCTATACACGTACAGACCCCAGGGGAGAAATGTGGCTGGTGTTGGGGTTTTATACGTAACTGATTTCGGTGTGGGGACGGCCTGAAATTGAATCATCAATATAGCATTATTATATAGAAAAATTTCCGGAGTTTCTACGCCTACCAAAGCGCATAAACAAGATGCGAGTCACACGTTAATATATATATATATTGGGTGTTTTTATACTTGATGCATCACAGAACCTAACCAATCATTGGCAATTATGTGTGGTTCAGGTGCATTGGCGATTCCATTCTCTGCCTCTATATCAGATAGAGGGATACATAGATCATTTATTTCAACATTAGCAGAGGGTACAAAAACAATACAAACGCAGAATACACTAAATATACAATTATCTTAGCCTAACAAAGTTATACTTTCACCACAAATACATTTCTGCATAAAACTGGAACAAATATATTTGTTGTATGTTCAAAACCCTTTTTCAATATTCATATACACTTTGTTGTCTGTCTATCTGGTATACTTACCGGGGTTGAAATTTAAACGAAGAAACTGGAATATCACGTAAAGGTTCCAAAATTTTAAAAAATTATAGAAAACAAGCTCACGCACCAGGAATATATGTTCCCCGTAAAACATAGACATGGTTTGGTCAAGTCTTCCCGTATATCCAGATCCGGTAACGTCAACGGCTTGAAGAACCTTAACCACCCAGCCTGCGCTCGAAATGAACTCTTCTATTTGAAAATTATCTGAAATATTAAATTTTCCACACGATCTGAAATATTAAATCTTAAATATGTTTGAAAATGTTTAAAAAACATTCTTTTCTTCATTAAAAGATCAAAGATTAATTAAAGCCCCCTTGAAAACGGATGTTATTGGGCAGATCAGGACAGAGGTTATACTCCGTGGTCTTGTCTGGGTCCCTGATGGGCCTCGTATATAGACAGGCCTATTTCTTGGGTCACTGTACTGTGTATACATAGCGACCGCTGGTGTCTGTAGTTGAGAATAGATTAAGACTATACACCTGCTATATTTGAGCCTATTTCGACTAAATAGAAGTTTATTATTATTATACTAGATTGGTTGATTAAAGGTTGTCCATTTTAAGAGACTATTCCCAGACCCTATCGTACTAACTTTGGATCGAACTATCTCCAAGGGGATTCTTGCTTAATTGCAATTAATTTAGGAGGCTCAGATGTCTGTCACGCCTGCTGAGGCAGATAGGGGGTAATTAACTATCGTTTAGCAGCTTTAGTGGGCGTGCCAGACGTCTAAGCCGCTTAGGCTGAAAGGAACTTAGCGAGGGACCCCGTGGAGATGGACCGATTCTTTTAGATCGATCCAGGGATGGGAACCCAGACTGAGTTCCCATCCCTAGATCGATCTATCTGGATCGGTCTATCTCCCTGGGGAGTCTCACTAATTTGCTATCAACTAGCCGGCTTAAAAGTTTGTCACGCCTACCGAATCAGCTAGGGTGTAAAGATAATTACCCCCTAACAGCTTTACTATGCGTGACAGACATTTAAGCCGGTCAAGTCGAAAGCAATTTAGTGAGACTCCCCAGGAGATAGATCAATTCAAATATCTGTGAGAATGGTCTCCTAGTCTAAGGCCCTGTAATAGCAAACCCCCTGCATTAGCCCACGTTGGACCATGTGGGTCTTTTATGGAACCCTTGTTGTAGCCCATCAGGGACCCACGTGGTGCTGATGGAAAAATCCATCTGGGACCCATATCACAGACCATATGAAAAACATGGACAAAAAACTTATATGCTCTGTCCATTTTGTATGAAATCTGCCAAATACGGAAATAAATGTTAAGTGATCAATAACGGATTTCTTTAAGGTTATCATTCTGAAATTATGGGCTCAATCCCATTGAAAGAATGGGTCTACGCAACTCGGTGGGGAATCTCAGTGAATGCAATCAGTTTAACAAAAATTTCAGTGGGAATCCTACCCGTTTTAACACTGCACTGTGTATTTGGGTTGAGGTGGAAGGGATGAAACTCCATCTTCCCGCCAGCTACTAGGACGCGTCCATCAAGGATAGCAGAGGGAGTCACATTGGACATATCTATTCCAAAGTGGTCGCTAAAAAAGTCCACTGCGTCCTGTCCAAACTTTATAATAGTCTGATTGCTGCAAGAGTGAAAAATGCCTTGTGGCTACTGTTCATCGATACACAATAAACATAATATCATGCCCCATCTGCATTGCTACGGCCCATAAGAGCCTAGGTGTGATTGTGAATTTATCACCACACAATTATCAGTGAGTTGAAATGCAATCCAATTTTAAAAAAATCATAAAATCAATATAAGCTGTCCAGCATGACGTTTTTGACACTATCTTTAGGTCAATTAAGATATATATTTTTATGCTAAAAGTACACCAAACGATTGTGTTAAATTTATGACAGTGATATCTCCCCGGCACTTGACGTGATGACACCTTGAAGGAAATTCATTACATGGATGAATGACGGGATCATAGAGGGAAGAAGAAATATATAGCTTGTCACGTATGTTACAAAACAAGGTGCATTTACAGTATGTCACTTCCTTGATCAGAAAGGTAAAGGTGTTCTATTATTCAGATCTGATTGATGGATGTAATGGTGTATCTTTGGATTGTAAAGGATACGCAGCATTCTCACCACATATGTATTATATGGGTTAAAGGGATGTGGAAAATACTCAGAAACAAACCTAATTTATTAATAAACATTATACACACACTGGACAATAGAAGTGTCACCCCTACTGAACCAATACTATGGGAGAGATAAATGACTGTGGAATAATATGCTCCTGGTAGCATTTTATTAACATCAAATTTCACCAAAAATCACAAAATGAGAACAAAATATGTATTCTACCAAAATATGCAGTTTCAAGTCCAAAATTAGTACTTAGTGGCATAGCCACGTGACCTAATAATAGGTGCCAGTCTACGAGGCAAGGATTCATATGATTGTCTGATGCGTTCAGGGCTTATGTTGGCCCAAGCATGAAACACTGAATTGTCATCCCGGTGAACAAATGGATAATTCCTGTCACCAAACATGTTAGTAATAGGTGGTAGCAAGCCTGACTCCAAAACATCGATATATTTCTAGTGATTCATATTTCCATCAACCACTATCAATTTGCCCACGCCATGGATGCTGATGCAGCCCCACACCATGATGAATATGCTGCTCCGGGTTCGAAAATTCAGTGCATGTGGTTCAAATGCTTTACCAGCAGTTCGCCAGCATCGTACCCGTCTGTCATTAGAGGTCAGACAAAAGCGACACTCATCAGAAAAAAAATATAGGACCAATTGTCATGGACTGTCCAGTTCCAGATCCTGTTGACCCTAGTTCACTCTACGTTGCCTGTTTTGTAACGATATAAGAGGTTTCAGTCTTGCTACCCTGCTGTACACTCTCTGAGCATGTAACCGACGCCTAGCAATTTTCACAGACACATTCTTATGAAATTGTTCCACTGTGTTGTCAACTGACAAGCAGTGTCGAACTTTGACAACCTGGACATCAAAATCAGTCGTCGGTCTTCACGGCCAGTAGTTTTTCTTGGACGGCCCATCAGAGGCAATTTGTCTCTTGATCCAGTGTTTCTGTACCGAGACCAGACCCTCTGCACGGTTCTGACTGAACAATTCAATTGTATCGATATTCTGAAATTGCTTATATTCCTCCTCTTCAGGTTAATAACTTGCACCTATAACCGTTAGATAATTGCCTGTATCTTGCCATATTGGAGGAAGACAGTAATAATATTTGCTGTACATGTACAAGACCAACAATACAATTCCATGCTATAGCGGTTTTATACTCATTGGTCACATTATAATTAGACCAGGCATTATAACTACCCAAGATCTGCCTACTTTTATTACACCGATTTAGGGGGTGACACTTCTATTGTCCAGTGTGTGTATCTCCCTGGGAGTGGAAGCCCCATGTGTATACTAGTATTCCTTTGGCATGCAGGCCATATTGGAATTTATCAAAAGGTCTAAGAATAAAGGTTAGTTACTCACCACAAATATATTATTTGAGTAATAAGGATGTGGAAAACACACAGAAACAAAAATGATTTGACAGTGAACAATGCACCTTCTTAGTTGGGATTAGTTGAAAACCCTTGTACATGTTCTAGTATTCCTATGCCACACGGTGGCCATCTTGGATTTTTCAAAAAGTCGAATGAAACTCGTTTGCTATCTTACATATGTATACATGCATTATATGGATAATAAGGATGTGGAAACAACTGAGAAAATAATTTATTTGATAAAAATCAATATAGGTACGTATATATACGTTTTTCTATAGAATTTCTTAAATTGGAGGCCATTTTAGATTTTTCGACCAAATGGTAAAATTTTTCAGAGGGCTACGGCTCTAGAACGATTAAGTTTGGTGCTTTAGCTGACGTGTCACGATTTGGCCATTTTTTACTCTAAGCCACCCCACTATTGTTGTCTTATAAAAGTACTGTACATGAGGAAATCACTTCCACAGTGACTCATCTTACATCCAAAAACTTGTCTCTATCACAATATTCCCTATGGACAGATTAAAAGAAATTATTTCGACGTGTTACATCTTTTTCACATGTTAACACAGTGTTAATGAAAAATTATAATAATGGCGTCTATATAACCAAGCAAAATAGTCAATAAATTGAACAGAAAATCAACTAGAGGATATGCATTAAGTGAGGGAACTGTTTAAAGGCAAAAGAGGTTATTTTATAGGAATCATTTTTCAATTTTTTTTCAGCCCTATACAGAAACGTCATGTTATCTCATCTATATTACCCTTGACTGAACAGCTATACTCCCCTTATCTCTAACGAATGAAAAAGCGTGGGAGCCGCTTCATTTAAGGTTATGTCCTAATGATATTTCTGTCTGAAAAATTTTTCATGAATTTTTTTACATGCGATGTTGACACGATTGCATCCATATTAAAAATTTAAAAATTGGTAGGTAAGAATGTTATTTTTGTTGCTATGGTTATATGGTTTTTTAAAATTACTATAGTGCCCTATATGCAATTAAATTACAATTTTCCTCACAGATTGAGTTAAAACTCCGTATTTCTTACAAAGAATTCTCAGCATACATGTATAGGGCAGACATAGACAACAACAACAACAACAACAACAAAAAAAAAAGATAGGTACCCATGTAAATTATATTGCTAGATCGTTGCTGACACGCGGTGTACCATAAGCACGCTAACTGAACGCATTTTTTCCTTTAAATTTAATATCATTAATAATACGCCATACTACTCACTCTGATCTCCCAGCACACACATGATGCTGCAAAAACCCGGTACCGTTTTGTTCGAACGCTGGCCAATTCCCTTTCATCAGAAGTTCAAAATAAATTTTAGGATAACCTACTCCATTTGGGATATCACAATCCAAGCTGTTACAGGGCACGTATAAAGAACAAAGCAGGATGTAGACAAGCGTTGTGACTGTTCTGAAACCAAAAGGGAAAACAGAAAATATTTTAATCATCAAACCACTGAAGAAATGAAAAATGTCTTTGGGAAATTTAACAAGAACAAAGAAGCATTCAAATATAAAAAGATAGTTACAAAATAATAAGTAACACAGTTTTCCTTTCATAGGGTTTGTGGCGGCAGTGCAGGAAGTTAATTGTTCGTCATTGTTGCAACATTACATAATGATTAAGAGCATAATCACCACCAATTTTTTATCACCTACTATTCGAAACATGGAAATTTAAAAAATGTAACTACAATTCGGCTTCATGCCCGTGGGAGTTGAAAGTCCCACACTGACAATGCCATATGTGAAAAAAATGCACAAAACACTGCATAGCCTCCAGAAAATGAATGCAATCGGACTGGTATTCTAGCACAGGCATTTCAGTCCTATTAATCTTTTCAGTAAGCTTGAGAATCATAAGCAACAGGATTTTCCTTCAATGTTCATTATGGTAACAGTATCCCAAATAGGGCTTTCTTCAATTTTGATGCAATGTTGCATAATACTTAACAGCATACTAACCACCAAGTTTTAATTATTGCAGGAAACATGGATATCAAAAGCTGTGACTGTCAAAGGCTTTCAGTCACGCCAGTCACACCATGAAAATGCCAATATGTGAAAAATGAACATTTTACAGAAAATATATATATGCCCCCCTGGATTTGAGGTGCAAAAAAAAAAAAAAAAAAAATATATATATATATATATATATATATATATATATATATATATATATATATATATATATATATATATATATATATTATAATAATAATAATCGCAAAGGTAAAAAAAAATAATTGCAAAGTTGGTATCAATTCTGTGAGAAAATGCAGTCATGGCCACTAGAAAATCATTCAACAATCTGTTTACAAAGGTGTGCTGTTTTTAGGCAACTCAGTTCATGCCAAAAAGTCCAATTGGCGTGTTGTGTTGAAAAAATGACTGTACTTATGGCAAAATGAACCCACAATTTCTGACTTCTGATTAAGCAATAAATTTCAGTTAAAATGCGCCTGAATGCAGTATTATACATACAGTTTTTAAAATTTTTCCACAAGGTGTCCGCTTACTGCCCCCCTGGCATTTTGCTCAGGCTACGGCCCTGACGCAGGAGACGGCATTATGCACAGACACATTTGTGTATGTAGAAATCATTCATAGATAGTGACACTTCGCTAATTCTGATATTAATCATTATGATTGGGGTATGTGTGGATATAAAAATAACTCAAGAGTTTAGTTTTTATAGCAACTATTATAATAAAATTTGTCAACTTTAAGATACCAGAATAAATTTGTGCTCCAGATTTTTTTATTTACAGACACAGATGCCTGCCGTGTGTTCCATAAAAACGGAATGTTTAAAAAAAATGCTTATAGAAAGAACTTACTGCTGACAGAGTTCTTAAACACAAGCATTCACAATTTCCAGAACTAAATCTAGATGCTGTTACGTTTGCTATCTTACTACTACATTCTCCTTTCATTCAATGAGGATGGCAATGAACTGTTCCTTGTGTTTTGGGCGCCCTCTCAGCAACCTAACTAATGGCCGCACTCAAAGATCTTTTTATTTTAAATGTTATTTTAATTTTCTTGATGTGTCACGATGTAAATTATATGAAGAAATACTATACAGATAATTGCCATGCCGTTTCCTGACACGTTGATCATTTAATACCATATTAATGCTGGCTTTTCATGAAAACTTATCAATAGCTGACCTTTATTTTCCCATTAAAAACACAGGTTGTCTCTGTACAGCGGCAATATTGAAACCCAGATTTGAGTTGGTTGTAAAAAAAAAAAATCCGATAGACGTGCAACACATCCTTCTTTGTTTTATTTTTTATCAACACTTCTATTTCCAATGTAAAATTATTGTAAATTAAAAGTGTGTATACTAAATTGAGGTCAGGAGCAGCTATTTTTCTACAGGGCCGTAGCCAGGGGGGTTCGGGGGGTTCGAAGGAACCACCCCTTTTGCTGGGAAAAGGTCCACTCTGGGTAAAATTTGTTCTAGGTACATGAAGTTTTTGTGGAAAAAGGTCCACTTTTTCAGAAAAAGAACTCCCTTTTGAAATTGCTGGCTACTGGCCCGTTCTACATTTAATCATCTAGGCGATAAACCATGGTTTAGATTTATTATTCGATGAATATTAAGAACTTAGTTGAACAAAACAACTTACCTGTACATCTTGTTTAACCGTTTATGTTGCTGAAGAACGTCTGATAATACTCCTCCCAATCGTTCGAGTGTGAAGACCATAGTTTTCGTAATGTTTTAAAAATCCCGTTTACCCCGGGGGAAGCACTCATTGGAAGGTTGGGTACATAATCTATAAAATGGTCTTAAAATTCGAGCCTTGAATGCGTACTTCTCAATCTCTTTTTTTCTGTTTCAACCACAAAACTCTTTTTATTTCATGAAAACTTGTAAACGCATCTTTCTAAAAAATTACTTATTTTGACGCTTCTCTTACTTTTTATATTTGTACCCAGCCTAATCAGTGCTGTCCCTCCCGGGAGTGACTCATTGGTTTTTGATAGGCAGCCGTTATAGGGGCACTTTTATCTGCATTGCTGTCGACCCATTAAAAGTACCTCCATAAGTTAATATAACACCTGTTCGTCTGATATCCATATTTTCCAATAACTACATTGTAAACAACTCACAGAAATACAATAAATTCTATTTTACCATCAAAACGGCGGTTAACACAATTATTCTGGAATTTGTGCTTGCCATCACATCATATGACCTCCATATATGGCTACACTCTGTAATAATGTCTTAAGAGAATATTACAAAAAAACCAAACTTTTTAGACAAGGCAGCAAAGCTGTCAAATGTACAGACAAAAAAAATGCAGAAAATAGGTCATTTTGTCAATTTTAATGCAATAATAAATAATGCAGTTAATCAACACTGAATTTTAATCATGAACAAAAGGTAACATGGTCAATAACAGGAGCGGATCCAGAGATATTTTCTGACAGTATTCCAAATTATCTTTGTTGATCCATCCTCCATTTTTGATGGTCTTCCAACAGAAAAAAAATAATGTAAACTTTAAAATCTGACTGTCTTCTGGAAGACCCAGAAGACGGTCTCAATCCGCCCCTGCAATAAGATTACAGTTTCAGGACCATGAGAGTCCAAATTCATATAATGGAAATCCCAATATTTGAAAAATGATGACAGTGCATAAAATAATATTACATAATGTTTAAAGACACAAATAACAATACAACTGCTTATGTGAAAATACAGAAAATGTGCAGAGCTTCAGGTGGATGGGAGTTAAAAGTTACATCTTGTAAATGCCAGTGTTTGAAAAAAAAATTAATAAGAAAACATAACAGAAATTTTCCAATAAAGCTGCTTTTCAAACTTTCAATCTTGCTATATTAACATGATATGAATTACCCCATTGAGTATGAGGATAATAATTAAGGCACTGTTATTCATCTATTGCATTAATGTTGGCAATACACAAAAAATATATATATTTTTTGAAAACTTATTTGCAATATTAAACAACATTTACCTGCATAATCATCACTGCTTCATTATTATGGACACTTATCTGGCAGAGAGCTTAACCTATGGGAGTTTACAGCATCAACAAGTGTGTTTTACGTAATTTCATTTAATGGCCACTTGAAATTTAATTAGATGCTAGATGCTTAATAGCTTATACCCAAGGGAAAATTACAGACTGACCTCCCAAATGTGACTAGCAAAGGTTTTCAGGCCCATAAGTCACACCTTAATTCACAAAATAGGAGACTGTCAATTCTGATGCAATAATACATTACGCTTCACTTTACTGCACAGTCAACATCAAATTTTAATTATGCACAACAGGTAATACCGATGAAATTAAAAAACATGAGGCTTCAGGCCCATGAGAGTTCAAGTTCACACTTAGGGTGCATTCCCATAGATTTTAGATCGATCTATCCCCGTGGGGAGTCTCACTAGATTACTGTCAGATAATCCGGCTTAAATGTCCGTCCTGCCTACTACAAGCTGTAAGGGGGTAATTAACTTTCGTGCTGCTCGGCTGACAGCTATTTAGCGTGAACCCCCAAGGAGTTAGGTCGATCTAGTTTGGATCGATCTAATCTCTGGGAATGGGGTCTTAGAAAATGCCAGAATGAGAAAAATTTCACAGAAATGCATAAATTCAATAAAATTTAAAATCCAATAGAGCTGTTTTTCTAATTTGAGCTGTATGTCAATCCTAAGAATCAACCTTGTAAGTTAAAAAATAATAAGTAACACAGTTTTCTTTTCATAACGTTTATGGTGGCAGTGCACTAAGTAGGTTTTTTGTCAATTTTGATGCAATATTACATGATTAACTGTATAAATATCACCTTTTTTTAAATTATTTACTATTAATGGACAGGGACATTAAGAAAATTTGATTACCACTGGGCTTCATGCCCATGGGACTTCTAAGTCCCACATTGAAAATGCCTATATGTGAAAGATAAAATTTTACAAAAATGTACAACTGGAAAAGAAGCCAATGAGACTGCTTTACCAACTCAGGCTGTACTTAAGTTCCATGTTTCTTTCCTTTAAGTTTAAGAAGGGTAAGTGACATGGTTTTTCTTTAATGGTCATTATAAAGGCAGAGCCCAAAATAGGATTTTCTTCAATTTTGATGCAATATTACACAATGCTTAACAGCATAATGACCATCTATTTTTTAATAATGAAATAAAAAAAAAATATTATGGATATTCAGAAAATGTGACCAGCAAAAGTCTTCAAGCCCACAGAGTTCAGAGTCACACCTTGAAAATCCCAAAATGTAAACAAGAGGTAACTGTACTGAAAACAGTTTATTTCCATTTTCAACACCTTTTTTAACATAAAACAAAATAATCAATTTACTGTCATTTTTATATGATAAACTAAGAAAAGTGGCGTCAAAGGAAAAATATCAATAGAACAATTTTAAATGTCCGACTTGCTCCATTCTGAGATTCTTAACTTAGTGAATGATTGAAACTGAAAAACTGCAATGATATGAGTTCATTTCCATTTTTGACACTTTATTATAGAACACACGATAACAGGTCATTTTTATATAATAAACTAACAATATTCTTAAGAAGCCAAAATGTCAAAACAACACTTTTACATATCTAATTAGTTCTATAATGAGACTGTTTACATGCCTAAGAATTAAATCTGAAGAAAAACCACTTATTTACAAAAAAGGCATAACTTCATCAAAACTCAACTGATCAAGCTTATTTTCAAACTTGATCTGTATATTAGTCAGACTGATCACTCTTGTGAGTTGCAAGACAAAAGGCAGTTCGATTTTCCTTGAAATGCCTTATCTATCGGTGTTGCATATATGCTGAAAAAGGTGAAAAAACAGCATAACTTTTATAATAATGGCCCCATCATGCTGATTTTCGAACTTGACCTATGTATTATGAATATTAATCAGTCTTGTAAGTTTCAATCCAAAATGTAAAACAGTTTTCCACTTATCGTGTTATCGGTAAAAGTGCACGGCGACGGCGACAACGGCGACAGACGCAGGTGACGGCTATATGTACAGGCACATCCGCGTCTGTACATAAAAAAACAGGGACTAACTTTAAAGGTCGGAATGGATTCATTTACCATTGGTAAGGATGGGAAAAATGTCCTTCACCCCAGGAAAATTCATTTTTTGGCCAAAATGAACAGTTGTTATACTTTTAACAAAGCTTTAACAGAACTTATTATCAACACGTTAATTTCGTTTAAAAACCCAATATTTAGAAAGCTGTGCTTTCTTGATTTCATCTTGTCTATGCTGTCTGATTTCGTTTTAAAACTTCATATTCTTGATTGCTATCATTTTCAATTTATTAGTCTTTTTCCTATACTTTTTTCCAGTCTGTCTATGGAAATTCTCATCATGTAATGTATGTATTAGAATTGTTGTTTCAATTAGGTCATAGCCTGTAGTTATACTGAGCTCAAGCTCGAACCAATATAGGATTATATATTATTTTATTGGGTCGACGTCAATATATATGTGTGTGTGTGTGTGTGTGTGTGTGTGTGTGTTATCCGTGGGTCTGTATCCAACGTGAATACATCTGCTGTAGAATGTACAGCGAAGAACTGAGTTAAACTGATCGAAACAGGCATTAAAGCACATAAACCATACAATATAGAGCGCCAGCCATTTCACATCAGATGGCACTCAAACCACATAATTGAATGGAGTTCCCGCATATCAAGCATCACATAAACTACACAAATATCAGAGCCAAGTTTCATCAAGCATTATGATTTTTATCCACTGGGCACTTTTCCTGTGCATAAAATTGATACTATTTGTCTCTGATATTGCTGTCCATGGTACAAATGGCTGCTGTCCTCAGGATAACTGTCCATAGGATAACAAATTTAGCCTTCGGTCAGCGCTATCCAGTGTTGGTAAAAATGGACCCAGATGTATACTAAAGAAAGAAAGGAAGGAAGAAAAAGAAAGAAGCTGTTTTGTGGGATATGTCTCACTGCAGGCCGATGCATGGTAACTCGTATTTCATAAGTTAACATGGATTGCTAACAACTTTCTCACGTGTATACAAATGTGAACGGGGCACAGGTGCGTGCACGCGTGCGTGTGTGTGAAACGCAGCAAAAGCACCACAGAAATATGCTGAAATGATTTTTAAAATCACAACAGATCATTACTCCTGTGATACCAATAAGGAAAAAATAAAATGTATCTCCCAAGAAGCTAATTGGCGTTTTATCACGATTCCATGTTCTTATTTTAAGTCACAGTACATTTGTGCAACTTTTTTCATTAATTTTGTATTCCTGGTGATCCAGAGTAAATTGTCCTTAAGTAATTCATCACGAAAGGCAAATGTCCTGTTCCTGGAAGCGTGGCTTGACTCATCGTGCCAGAGTCATCCACGTTTTAATATTCAAATATTATGAATATCACTACAGATTTCTGATCTCCTGTAGCTGCCACGAACCCTGATAGCGCTATCCTGAAGGATCGATTCAGAATGCCAGAGTCTCTCAAAGTTAATATTATTCCATTCTGAATGTCACTTCAGAGTTACTATCTCGTTTAGCTCCCATGAACCCTTATGCCGTTATCTACCCTCCAGGGTTCTGCCTCAACCTCTCTGATGAGGTTAAAACCGTTTTAACTTCCTTAAGATCAAACACCTAAGATCAACAATGCTAGACACCTTGCATGGTCTGAACCACTCAATCTCCCT